TACTGGGTTGATTGTGTCGGAGGTGCCGTATTTGCTGATTTGTGCGGTGTTGTATTATGTCTGTTGGTACTTCACTGCTGGGCTGCCAACTGGTGCTGGACATGCCGGTAGTGTTTTCTTTGTCGTGGTAGGTCTCAAACGCAACGGTTATCGTTTTGGCACAGCTAACATGTTTCAGGTCATGTACGAAGGTCTGTATACTGGCATCGGTCAGATGATCGCTGCGTATACTCCCAACGCGGTCTTTGCGTCGCTCGTCAATCCTCTCGTCATCACCACTCTCGTCTCGTTTTGTGGCGTGATGATCCCTTACAGTCAGATTGTAGAGTTCTGGCGATACTGGTAAGTGAAAGACTATCTCGTGACACCTCAACGTCATCACCTAACGTAAACATAGGATGTACTATATCGATCCCTTCAACTACCTCATGAGCTCGCTCCTCATGTTCACGACCTGGGACAAGCCCGTTCACTGCAAACCCCACGAACTCGCCGTCTTCGACCCTCCTTCCAACATCACCTGCGGCGACTATCTCTCTGACTATCAGAGCGGTATGGGCAAGGCCACCAACCTCCTCAACCCTGATGCATTCGCAGATTGTCAAGTCTGTCAATACACCTCGGGCGCAGATTACCTCCGAACATTGAACCTCAAGGAAGAATACTACGGTTGGAGAAACGCTGGTATTGTCGTTGTGTTTGTGATTGGTTTCTATGGGCTTGTGTATGCCATGATGAAACTCAGGACCAAGGCTACCAAGAAGGCGGAGTCTTAAAACAAATGGGATGGAAGGATAATATTAACTAGAATGGTTAGAACGGTGTACCCTGTTTCTTCTCTTCTTTGTCTTTTTGCTTGCCGACCTTTAGTCGCGGTAGATTTAGTTTTAGACTGGATATTAATTATTTTGGGTCAATGTTACTGATAGTCTCTATGGTGTGAATTTGTTGATCCCGTAGTCTTTCAGTGCTATCACAGAACTGTAATTTGGTGAGCTGTGCTTCGGGCAGGCCCAATACCTGGGCTGCATGCACTAAAACATCCGCTAACTCATCATGTCACAGTGGAGAGACCCATAAACCACGGCGAAATCAAGGGTAGTTTAGTCTTCTCAATTGCGGCACCATTTCGCCGAAAGTCTTGACCTCTCGCTTGCTACAGTTGTCAAGTATCTAAGGAATAGCATTCATTTCGCCGAATCCACAATCATCAATTGAATAAAAAATTTAGCTATAATGTAATGGAAATGTTCTATATAATCATAGAGACCAGGGTCTCTTGTCCAACCCTTACCAACACCTAGGCGCTCAAAATACCTGCTTCAACTCTACACCACTGAACAAAGTCAACTCAGCCATCCTTCACTCTAAGAAATTTGCAAGATGCACTACACGCCCCGTGAGGTATGTATTCCTCAGTCCGTGCACCATTGATACTGATACCCTAGTCGCAGGTTGAAAAGCTTCTCTTCTCACAGGCCGGTCGTCTGGCACAGAGACGTCTGGCTCATGGAAAAAAGCTGAACCATCTAGAATCTAGTGTAAGCCGAGATACGCCATGGCCACAAATTAAAAGGCTAACACAAGTATTAGGCTCTCATTGCTACTGTTCTCCAAGAAGTTAGCTCCATTCCCAAATGCACAGTTGTCAATGCACTGACGATATGATTAGATCATTCATAACGAAGATTACTCTGTCGCGGATCTCATGAAACTCGGCAAGGGAATTTTGGGTCGACGACATGTCCACCCTTCTGTTGTGGGCACGCTCAAGCAGATGCAGGTTGAAGGAACCTTCAGGACGGGAACTCACTTGATCACTATTCACAACCCAATTAGCACTGATGACGGTGACTTGAAGATGGCTCTGTATGGGAGCTTCCTCCCAGTTCCTTCTCATGACTTGTTCCCTGCTATCAACGAAGCAGATTTCCATCCGTTGGCGATGCCAGGCGCGACCCGTCCGGCAGAGACTGGAGACATCATCCTCAACGCGGGCCGTGACCGAGTCAGGCTCGCCGTCACGAACAAAAGCACTCGGGCTGTCTACGTAGGTTTTCACACGCCTCGATACACCATGTCTCATGCTAACGTGATATCCTAGATCGGCTCTCACTTTCACTTCATGGAAACAAACCCCGATCTCGACTTCGACCGCGAAAAGGCATATGGCTATCACCTCGATCTTCCGGCTGGAGAGTTTCTGCGCTTTGAACCGAATGAACCGAAGACAGTGACTCTCGTTCAAATTGGAGGTTCTAGGATCATCCAAGGCGGAAGTGGCTACGCTAAAGGTCCTGTCGACCTCGCTAACGTTCAGAAGATCTTAAAGCAACTGCAACAGGCCGGGTATCGACATTCGCCGGAGGAACCGACGAAACATGAGACCTTTCGGCCTTGCTCGATTACTCGGGAGAAGTATGCCTCTGCATATGGTCCCACGACAGGTGATGTTATCCGTCTGGGCTCAACTGACCTCTGGGTAAAAGTAGAGAAGGATTATACGTCTTATGGTGACGAGTGCACTCTGGGCTGCGGCAAGACTATCCGAGACGGCATGGGGGCTGCAAGCGGCTGTTCCGACGCGGATTGTCTTGACTTGGCTATCATCAACGCCGTCGTCATTGACTGGACTGGCATTTTCAAGGCTGACATTGGTGTCAAGGATGGCGCAATTGTCAGCATTGGGAAGGCTGGTAACCCAGCAACGATGGATGGTGTTTCTGATAACATGGTGATTGGATCGAACACTGACATCATTGACGCTGGTGGTAAGATCGTCACTGCTGGTGGAATTGATACGCATGTCCACAATATTTGTCCACAGCAGGCATTCGAGGCCATCTCATCCGGCATCACGACGCTCTTTGGGGGAGGAACCGGTCCAAGGTATGATCATTCATTCTTGTGCTAGCGAAAGAAGAACTGACAGATCCAGTACATCTTCTACAGCAGTCAACGGCACCGCGAGTAAGAAGTACATCCGGCAAATGATGCAAGCCTGCGACCAACTTCCCCTAAACTTCGGCCTCGTCGGAAAAGGCAGTGACTCTGAAAGGGTCGGTCTTCTCGACCAGATCAAGGCCGGCGTTATCGCACTGAAGCTGCATGAGGACTTTGGCTGTACGCCTTCAACAATCGACAACTGCTTGAAGTAAGTCATCGACCAGTGAGTCTATTGTACCTCGGAACCATGCTGACTGCTATAGCGTCTGCGAAGAACAGGACATCCAATGCCATATTCACACCGACGGCCTCAACGAAGCAGGCTTCCTCGAACACACCGCAGCAATCTTCAAAGGGCGTAGCATTCACGTCTACCATGTTGAAGGCGCGGGAGGAGGCCATGCGCCAGACGTGATCAAGCTAGCCGCCTATCCCAACGTCCTCCCTAGCAGTACGACCCCAACGATGCCTTTTACGACCAACACCATCGACGAGCATATTGACATGGCCGCTAACTGCCATCGCCTGTCAAAGGATAACCCCGATGACGCTTCGTTCCTTAAGAATCGCATCAGGGAGGAGGCAATCTCAGCCGAAGATATCCTTCATGATATCGGGGCAATCAGTATCATGTCATCTGACTCGCAAGCTATGGGCCGATCAGCAGAGGTGCTGACATGCACTTGGAAAGCAGCGCATAAGAATAAGATTCAACGCGGACCATTGGACGAGGACAAAGATACTGGTGCAGATAACTACCGCGTCAAGCGGTATGTCAGCAAGTATACCATCAATCCCGCGATCACCCAAGGAATAAGCCACGCCGTTGGTAGTGTTGAGGCTGGGAAACTGGCAGACCTGGTGATCTGGGACCCCGCTGAGTTTGGAACCAAGCCTTTCCAGGTTTTGAAGAAGGGTTTTATTACATATGCACAAATGGTGAGTTTATTTATCCTAACACTGGTAAGAATTACTAACATGTCTCACAGGGTGACCCCAACGGAGCGTGAGACTTTCACTTGCCTCATCATGGTTAAGTACTAATTCCTTCTCAGCGTAGCAGATGTCGAACCTTTGATCGGTCGACCGATGTACGGAGTAAGTACTGCTGCAATCATTCATCTGAACAATCTCTGACGCACCGCCAGGCTCTACATCCCGAATCGAGCGTCATGTTTGTATCACAAGCAAGCATCGCACAAGGTGGCGACGTTCATTCGTACAGCCTCAAGAAACAGATTGAGGTTGTCAAGAACTGCCGAACTGTAAAGAAGAGTGATTTGAAGTATAACAGCGCGACACCAAAGGTTGAGGTAGACCCCGAGACTCTGGTAAGCTCTATGTCTGTGGATGGCGATGGAAGAATATTAGCTGATTATTTCATAGGTTGTTACTTGCGATGGAAAGGAACTCAGGTCTGAGCCGGCGAGCTCTCTTCCTCTGACCATACAATCGTTCTTGTATTAGATAGTTACGAATGTACTCATAGCACATACTTTGTTAAGGATTAGGTAATCAGTTCATTCTACAATACCATTACAAACTCCATAGACTGCTACATCTTGTAGTTCAAGGTTTCTCTCATGTCCACCTTGTAGCGTAAGCGAGCTTCTGTGTTGAGGTTAGTGATCGTGTAAGACACTAAACCTTTGAGGTGTAGCGGCTCCCTTGGCATAGGCTACCCCAAACAAGGCACTAACATACTGCGTCATAGTCGAAGTCAACTGTGACTCAGCACTGTCAGCTTGTAAAATTTTCCCAGTCATGCAATAATTTAACAGCCATAGCACCTGTCTATTAATTCTAGATGCCGAACTTTGGGCGTCGACATGGATAACAGTGAGGCATATGACATCAGCCCTCACAACGAGCCCTGCACACGCACCTATAGACTCCATAACAGACGTCGGCCTTGTGATCAATGTCGAGCCCGCAAAGTTAGGTGTCAAACTGAGGATGGCAACCCGCCGTGTCGAAGGTGCGCACAAACAGAGACTGCGTGTACTTTTGCAGGGCGCTCAAGGCGTACGACTCGGCAGAACAGAACTCGATCTATGTCAAGTAGTGCTCATTCACCAACTGTCAACCATGCCTCCCACGATACCACATTCGATCTTGATAACTCCTTCGAGACGGACGATATTCAAGCTCAACACACCACCTCCCATGAACCAACCATCTTCGCAGCGACTACCCCCGTTTTATCTCACCAGAGCCAGGTTCCATATCATCAGGCACCTACTCTTGGCAGTGTCGCCACTACAACGCAATTGCAGTTCTCCAAGTCCCTTGACGACACCAGCGGCTCGAGATCCATTCTGTTGGGAGCGTCTTCTGAGTCCGACCCTTGGTTACTCCGCCACTGCCAATTCGACGAGTATGGCCTGAGGAGCTTCTATGGTTTGCAGTTCAGAAATATTGGTGGAGTTCCTAACAGGCAGAAAATTCCAGTGCACTTCATCGTGAGACAAGACGAGACGAATGTGATAGACTCGTCACTAAGGACCAGGCTGGATGACCTTATACCTGTGTCTTGGGGATTAAGGCTCATCAGATTGTAAGTTATGGCAATGGTAACTTTTAGGATGAAGACTGACCGGCTGAAACAGGTTCTATAAACATGTTTACCCAATAATTCCGATTATATCTTCGACGTACTTTACCCAAGAACTGCTCAGCGATTCATGCCCTGCGCCCGGTGTATTTGATCACGTACCTTGCCACTTACTCGGCGCCATGTATGGCCTTGCAATGCCCTTCGCCAGAAACGATGATCATCTCTCCATCGTCGACATCCACAACCAACTCCCTCGTAAGGCCGTCTGGAGTCTCGTCTATGAAAGTACACAGGAAGGAATTCGCCGTCCTCAATTGTCTGTCTTGCAAGCGGGCCTTTTCTATCTACATGGGATCAGCCAGGGTCACCAACCGCTTTCGACTGCGCCAGATGCCTTCAAGTGGTCATGGCTGGGTAGTCTCATCGGCATGGCTCAGAATCTCGGCCTGCATCTTGAGACCCGAATGTGCGCCATCCCGACTGAAGAGAAGCAACTACGTGCCCGGCTCTGGTGGGCATTATATACGGAGGACAAGTGGCTTTCGCTTCTAATGGGTCGACCACCTTACATATGCCACAATGAATGGGATGTTGCTCAGTTGGAAGAAACGGACTTCAGCATTCCGAGCAGTATTCTTTTTACGGATGTTTCGCACGCTGAGTTAACGAGGCCATTCAGAGATATAGCCCGCCTCTCAGTAATCGCAAGTTCGGTACAGGCATCTTTTTAGTACGTGACTCGAGTCTACACTTGGTAATTGTACATACGCTAACCGCCCCTGTAGTTCACTGAAGGCTTCCCAGCAGCTGTCCGAGAACTTGTCCCTGTCTATTCAGACAGCCCAGCCCATCTTTGAGCAACTAAGCCTTTGGCGTGCTTCCGTCCTGGCCCCAGAATCCCCAACGATAACAACTAACAATGGTATGCTCAACGATAAGGCATCGTACCCCGCGACGATACTAGTTGCCCACGCAACACTAGTTACGTATGTTTGGAGAGCGCTTCTACGCCCCATCGTGCCATCGGCTGTGCCACCACTTATCGTCGATGATCAACAGCTTGCAGAAGCCTCTCTGGTTATGGAACTCCAGCCGCATGATATCGAGAACCTTTGCTGGGATCTACCAGATCTGTCGCATCTCGAGTTGCCACTGAGGAGCAGCATTGATGGCACGGGTTCACACGATGCAGTTATCCAGAACCTTCATCAGTCTTCTCTGGCCTGGGCAACCAGCCTGACAAGTCTTGTGAAAAATCTCTCCCCAGCTCGCTTTCACGAATTTTGGTACTCTTGTAAGTGACAAAGAAGTCCTGCATTATCCGTAACGTGAATACCTCCTAATAATGATCAAGGGTCGAATGTCTGCTTCGCCGTAATGTCTAGCTTTGCAATGGTTGTCTTCATTCAATCGCCGACGCAAGAAGCGGCACTAAGATCACGGGATATGCTGGCCGCTTGGCGTCAAATTGTAAGGGACCAAAGTAAGGTCTCTCCACTGCTACTCCCAACGTTGGCGCGAACTGATGGATATTTTGCCGCTGGTTTTTCTGAAGTCTTTTCACTACCGGCTCATGTCAAAGCGGCACTCCAGCCTTAGCTTCGGCGAAGTTGGCTACGTCACTTTTTCGGCGAAAGTGGCCTCACGGCAAGCCCCACTACCTTACCCTACGTTGATCCAATGCTCCAGCATGATGAAACCTAGTATATAACTTGAACTATGTGTTATGTTTACTTAAATGATTATTTAATGTCGTAAATTATCAAGATAAAGAAGTATGGATCGATACGTGGATTTCCAATCATCGCCTCGGGCGCCATGCCGTTGTGATGGCTGTGGTTTCACCGGACCACGAACAACTCAAACATCCAACAGCCAACCTGCTCCGTACGCAGAAGCTATGGGTTATCTCCAACTAAGGAATGCTCAACACCGAGACGGAAAGAAGAAGAAGAGGAACTTTAAAAAAAATATTATTGCTCGAATTTTCCATCTCAAGTAACAATTACGTCGCTTCTTCCTAGGTATGTCGTCTTTTATCCCTCTAAGACTTGAAAGCTGACATGAACCCTGCCTCAGCTTGCTTTAATTGCTGATCTCTTCCCCAACTGTCCACAGTGTAATATCATCATGACCTGCTGACGTTTTAAAATCGTGTTCAGCTCTGTTGAAACGGCTTGGATTTCTCCATTAGTCTTCTGGGCGCTTGAAAAGGGTGCATGCGGACGTGTCACTCATTCCCCACAAGTGACAATGTCGGCTGCGACCAAGTTGCATTTCAGCTGTAATGCAGAACTGACAATATTGAACTCTATTTATCCAAAGACCATTCACAATACAGAACAGTCTCCTCAACCCTGCCTCAGCTGCCCAGTACCTGTGGAGTTGTATTTTGTCAAACAGAGTATACCCAATCATACTTATAGTAGCCAGGTACAGGCCGCCTACCAATACCAATTCTGGTTAACCTTTGACATCTCCGCTATGGTGTTCCCAGTTATCAGGTGTTTCTAAAGTCCCAAAGTCCATATCGGGGATCCCTATATCGCTAAAGTCCAATAATAGGACACTGTTACCTACCAGCAGCCTGAAGAAGGTGATTCACGTGGCTAATACTGAAGCCCTATGCAAAACTGCGGCTTTTATTTAAACCAAACATTTAACTGCCGAGCCACACTAATATAAGTACCAAGCGGAAAGTTTATATCTCACCTTGTCTTGCATGTTAAGACAGAAAAGGCAGGTCCTGATAATATCAGATCTCACTATTACCCGACACACTTCCGAGGCTACCTACTTTATAACTCTAGTATAGTAAATAAGAGAATAACACTATACTCCTTATTAATTATTAAGCTTAAAGGTATCCTTATTTTTGAGTAAGCTATTTTGTGTAAAATTAAAGATTAAAGAAAGACTACTTCCCTGCAGCAGTCCAGAGAGTACCTTTGGTGACAGTCATGTATAATAATAGTCAGATGCCTTCCCAGACGCTTTGATCATCCCTAGTCAGGAACTTTAAACCGGCGGAGAAGTCCCATCATCATCTGATGTTATGATCCTACAACTGTGAGACAGTCAAGGCCAACATACATCCAAGAGAACATCTCGCTACCGTATAGAGAGATTTGTGGCTAGCTGATGAGAAAAACTCAATCCTGCTTGCTGAGAATCTCAAGCAGAGTATGCTTCTTGAAACCAAAAGTGTGGCTGCCTGAAATTGTGACACGCTTGATTCTGCTTCATGTACATGGATATATGGCTGGCTGAAAATCCCAATTAGATCCCACTTCGTTCATCTTACTTGGTGTATACAGATGTGTGGCTAGCTGGAAATGCTATTGCGACTTGGAAGTGTAAGCTGATTCACGTGAATCAGTAACAGTTAGACATGAAAGACGTCTGCTCATTGTTATATAAGACGAGAACCATCAGTTCAAACTCCTTCCCTTCTTTTTCTAATCACCAGAACCACACTCGACCTTTACGAATAAAGCAAACCACTTAAAAGTGTAAGCCTTGTTCTTTCTACCTTGTCACGAAGTTTTAGTAATGGCCTACTGACCGAAGAAGCACACGATGCCTCAAGACGTCTACGTGCGATTTGCGAATGGCCTTGGCGACGGCCAATAGCTCAACATCACCGTGTACTACCAAATGAATGGCTCTAATACAGTCTACCATAAGTCTATCTCCCTAAACGGGCCCGGCTATGAAGTAGTGCACCTGAACTACATCCAGAGGGTAGTCATGGGAGGCTTGACGGCCAATGTGGGCTTGAACTCATCTGCCTTTGATGGGCAGCCGGATGCAGCATACTTCACCACTAGAATGTCTGATGCTTCGGACGGGCGTCACTATCGCCTGGAATGGGAGAGTGGTGGAGTCTCTCGAGAGAAATGGTACTATCAGTAGTGGTGATGACTGAGGGTCTTGGAGCTATTGTGTATCTGCTCAGGCAAACAGCGGTGGATCTCAAACCTGGGTATAGTGTGATCTCTTGGAATAACTGGTCACTTGTTCTTATCTCTGTCCTTACTGTTAAGATATAAGCTACTTAGCTATAGTAACTACCTGTAGATTTAAAGTAGTATCCATTCTTTTAATATAAGTATTTATTTATATACTGAGTCTTTTTCTTATTCCTCTATTACTTAATAGGAGCAACAGACTCTGGGCATACCATAATCACGCTTTATTTAGTGGTCTGGAATCTAAGATTGGCGAATCCACTGTTTTCAGCAAAAGGGAGCAGACATCCTTTCGTTGCCTGAGATACGCTTGTTAGCCTTTTGGAGGGTTTAGGATAGTTACTAATACTACATTAAAGCGGCTTAACCATTATGTTAAACCTGAAGTGGATTTTCTAACCTTATAATTGACTTATAAACTCAATACCGCTATAACCTTCTGATTGCCACAAACCTTCTCTCTAACCTTCTTCTTAGCCTAGTGGCACCAATATACCTATTATTATGAAACTTTCTTCTAGTTAAGCTTTTCTTATATATCAGTATTTCTTAATAAATCTAATAGCTATATACTATATCTAGTTAATACCTTTTAGGAAGTTATTATCTTAGCAGCAAATTGCTAGTTATACTTTAATTAAGGACTTAATTTAATTGTTATGACCCTAGTGGTTATATTATATATACCCCATAAAAACTCCACTTTAGGTCTATCCAGACGGCTAACTAAATAAGGACCAATAAGATTAAAACCAATAGCACTTTAGGACTGCATTATTCTAGGACCGATAACAACCTTATATTATATCGCTCCCTTATAATTACTATAATATATATATATATTCCTTTAGTACTAAATAGAACTTAACTTACTAGCTATTAATAATATTTCTTTACCTTAATAAGCCTTACCTATACTATTAACTATTAAGAGATATAATACCTTATTAATATATTTAGTATAATACCTTATATACCCTATAAATATAAACCTAATATAGATTAGTTTATTTATTTAGAAATCTAACTATTATATATTAATAGCTTTTATTTAAAATATATTATATTAAATAATTAAGTAATATTATACTGTTAAGATATTTAGTAATATTAATACCTTAATATCTCTTTATATTAAAATACTATTTAATAATGCTAAGATAGCAGCTAAAGTTTAATAACTTTATAATACTATTTAAACTCTATAGGCTTAAATAAATATATAACCTGCAGTAATTAATAATAAAAGGGAAAACCTTAATAGGTTTTAATGCAATATTAGGGAAGCCTTAAAACCCCTTAAACTGGAATCTTTTACTAAAAAGGCAGCTAATATAATTCTATTCTTTACCTAAATAAAAGTATACTTTTGTCTATTTTTAAACTGCCTAGATACTGCTATAAAGAAAGTGTTATATACCTTACCTTTAATTTAAGGAGACATTAAAGAATGGTAGGAACCTATTATATAAGACTTCCTTAATAACAATAAATAGTTATAGGAATAAGAGACTTAAAATATCTTTATAGATTAGAATAATTTTAAATAAGCCTTTAAAGATAACTTTAGAGTAGTTAATAAAGAAAGATAGGTAATAATTAAATTACTTATATTTAAGTAGTATAAATTATATACTATCTATTTTACTAAATTTAGGTAACTTATATTTAAGATTAAGTAAAATAATAATACTTTAATAGAAATATACTATAGAGGACTAAAAAAAGAAGTTAAGGATAAACTATATATTATAGATAGACCTAATAACTTAACTATATATATTATTATAGCAATTAAGATTAATAAATAATAATATAAATATAGAAAAAAGAAAGCTAATTATAAAAGAGGAAATAACTTTAATTTTTATTATTTTAATTAATAATAAAATAATAATAACTAAAGTAACTTTTAAAACTAATAATAATAAGGAAAGTATTAAAATAATACCTTATATAGAATATATAAAAGACTAATAACTTTAGGAGTTACTTAACCTAATAATAGAAATTACAGAATATATAATATATCTAAATATAAGTATTATAACTGTAACCAGTTTAGATATATAGTATAATAATACTTATAGCTAAAAAGGCCGCAAAACCTTAATTACAGTAGGTAAATATTAGGACTAACTTAATAGAATATACTATAAATGGCTATATATATTTAGATACTAGAAATAATATAAAGCAGATATAATAAATAGTTTAATAGAGAATTAAGTATTACCTAAATTAAGCTAGAAGACTTAAAAAAATTAAATTATAAAAATAAGGTTAAAAGAAAGGGATGCCTTAAAAGTAACCTAAAAAAAGAAAAAAGATAACTTTAATAGAATAAAAATAATAAGAGATATTATAAATATTATATAGAAGATCTTAAGAAAAGAGAAAAATATAAAAAGAGATAATAGTCTTAGCAATAGAAATAATAATTAAAATAAATAAAAACCTTAAGGATAATAAAAAAGGGAAAACTAATTGCCTTTAAACTAGATTAACTAAATAACCCTTAATAAACTACTAATAAGAACCTAATTAGGATAACTATATAAGCTATAGAAAAAGCATTTAAGAAAGAAAAGACCTTAAAAAATAAGCTATAAACCTAGAATTACCGGA